TGGAGCATTTGACGTGTCTCGTCTGTATAATGTAGTTGTGCTCATCGTTACTCACGTTTGATTCGAGATTACTATTAGGATTACTAAAATGAAAGAATACTATTCTAAAATAACATAAAATATGTGATAAACTGCCAACTATAAATAAATTGGTGTCGTATTTTTGCGATTTGTCAAACTTGATTTGTTCTTTCGCACTTGAGATTATTTTTAAGCAAGATATCGCTGTTTAAAAAATCACAATGTCTGGGGAAAATACGAACAAATGAAAATTATTTTATTGCATTCAGCTCCGTCGGTAGTTTCAGAATGAAAAAAGGTACATCGCGGATCGCGCGCACCATTGATTGCGTGCGGCTGCGTCGGTAGCTTCAGAATGAAAAAAAAAGGTAAATCGCGCGCACAATTGACTGTGTTTCGATTTCGCAGCTACTACGATGAAAACCTAACATAACACCAAATTTTGTGATTTACAATGTCTATAGAAGCGTTTTCAATCTGAGGTGAGTCTGCTGAAACCAAAGTGTGATCTTCCATTTTAAGTTTCAGTTTATAAATACTTTAGAATGCCGCTTTTCAATCAAGAAATTTGAGTTGTGGATTTACCTTTTATCGATTATTATTTTTAGCATTTCGTCGCCGATGACTATAATATGGTAACATGTTTTTCACATTGAACTCATAATTCCCCACGAGAACAAAAAAGCAATTAACGTCGTCATTGTGTAACAATACATGTATATGCCGAGGGAAATTTTTGATTTAGGGAGAATAAACAGCGACGTAAAGATGTTTAAAACACGCCATGCTGACGGAAAAAAATCGGCGATTGTAACAAAATGAAATAGCGCACGTTACTAACGGCCTTTTAATTAAGTCTTCCAAAAATGTCAAAAAAGAAAAGATTCGATCCCTAATTTATTAATATGTCCGTCAAGTGTCAAATTTACAGCTTTAGTATAAAATTTAGATTTATTTATGACTTGTGTTAACCCTATTAAAAAAGGTTCAGCATTTAGAATAAATAAAGTACTATTAACTTGCTCGGGAATAATAATCTGAAAGTAACAATTTTAAAATTTATTTTGGGGCTCCGCGAATAATATTCAACCTTTCAAGGGCTCCGCAACACCAAAAGTTTGAGAACCCCTGCACTAGACCATGAGATTCTGCCAACGCGCCGTTTTCTGTGGGATATGCGCTGCAAATACGGCGCTAATGTCGCTTTGGGTCCGGCACTGGAAGCGTTTAAGCATAGACAATCTATAACCCATATCATTTCTATCAAGTTTGTTTACTGGTTTTACGAATTTATACCTGTACAGCTAGCAATCATTTACTGAAGGCATGCTGACGTGTTATTTAAACTACCGGTACCGTACCAAGGCTGCAAGAGGTGAAAACTAAATTATTTAGTAAATACTGAAATAGGCCTACGAACAAAAATGTTGGCCATCCTGCCAATAGGCAGGATAAGTTGTACGGTACCGGTATACGAAAAAGATGAATATCTACAACATATAATGGTACAATACCGGTTTCCTTACTAGGTTAAAAAACATGACTGAGGGAGACTGATACGAGAGGGAGATTTATTTTGTCAACCAGAATACAAGCATTGAATCTATAAAAATTATATACAAAACACACAGTTATTCGGTATAGACTGGGGAGCAATGCGATCATCACAGTCAGCTCCCCCTGCCCCCCATGTTTGCTATCAAGATTAACCGGTAATTAAGATGTTTGAACAATTTAACAAAAACTCATTGGAGGAAGGGTTGACTAAGTTACGGAATATTTTTGGATTCGGTTAAAAATGTATTCTATTATTAAACCACATAGCAAGTACGACAGTTAATTTATAAAAAAAATTGTAGATTAATAACAAATCAGTAGGATTCAGCTCGGGTATTCAAACATGTGAGGATTTAAGTGAGAAAAAAATTTGAAGTTACGTTTAGGATATTACTTTGAAAAACAATGGAAGAGGTACATTGGAATCAGTCATGCTTCAAATGCAAATGGCATTAATGAAAAGAATATGCGAAATGCGTTTGCATCATAATAAGGGAGATTATTATTATGCGCATTGTTTCTATGTTAAAGTATGGCTGTAGCGGTTGTTTGATCAAAGAAATTGAAAGCAAAACTCCCTCAAGTAAATTTTTATTCTTTTAATTAAAAATTCAAACCCATGAATAGGGAGAATGAAAAGTTTAATGCTTTCATATTTTTAAATTTTAAGCAATTAAATGTGGTGTTGTTTAGAGAAATTCTGAGCTCAAAAATATGGATGGGCTTCTCATGGTCTAAATCCAGCCCTGAACATCACCAATTTAAAACCAATATATAACATCCAATTTAAAACCAAAATAGATCTTTCGTTGGACGCCAGTTGTGGTCTCGGTACCGATATTCCAGTATTCTGTTATCACAAGCAGTTGGAGCGCATATCCCACAAAATATCAAAAGAGATGTAAAAAATATTCTATCCTAAAAACTGCTCACGTATACAATGAAAGATATCTAGAAAATTACATGAAATGCAAATTTCTGCTCTGGTGATCACATTCCCTATAAGAGGTAATATTAAAAAAATTTTTTTTACATCACTTTTCTTTTTGCGCGTAGGATGGATTTTTAATGAACAAGGTCTATTGAATATTGTGTGTTTACGACTATAGAAATCAAATTACCACTGTTTCAATTTTGAGGTAAAAGTGAAGCATTCAAACAAGAGTTCTCGTTCAATAAAGACTTTTAAAACCTCAATTTTTGGGTCACGTTTTCAACAATGCAAAATAAATATTTTGTTACATACGGGAACAAGAAATGCTATGATGATCACATCCACTAAACATAAACGATTACACTTTGTGGGGGCGAGGAAACATTAATTAGAAAATTGGAATGCTAAATCACTCCAAATGTTTAAGATCTAATATCAAGATTACAAGAACTTGTAATTCTTGTTGTATTTCTACTGATGCAGCGTGGTTTTTATATTTCAGATATGTACACAGCAAAGCAATGGGCAATTGCGCGGTGAGAACATCTACAAAACAAGTTGAAAATAAATTGCTTTATTTTAATTTAAATTCACATGATAGACCGGATAAAACCAGTATCAGCTAGACCAGTGAACTTGTTATATAAAACTCAATAAATGCTATTTGTTTAAAACGGAATAATTTTTGCAGTATCATATGGAATGAAACAGTATTTTAAATATTTAAAAACATTCAAATTTTTAGAAATCTTCAAGTTTTCCCATGTTTATCTTTTTGACTACTATTTTACTATTTTACTGGCTCTTCGAAATCAGAAATACAAAATTTAAATATAATTTTATTCAACTTCAACACCAACAACAACCGTTACATGGAATTTTCTGTCTACAAGCGTGTCCATCATCTTCCCAGCTAATTTTTATTTTCCTTCTATCATTAATCTTCTTGTTTGTTTTTCTTCTTTTAATTCTATACTGTATTTCCGAGTGTAACCCCCTCTTTTTTAACGGTACGTGTGAATGTGTTCTGCGCCCATTGGCAGTAATTATTCAACTTCGTCCAATTATTTTTAGTTTCATCTAGTTGGATAAACTTGAAAATTACCTCCTAATTAAGTTTTCTAGCTCCCGGGTCAATGACTTCGCATTAATTTGAGCTTGTGGTATTCTTGTTTTAAGTAAACTTCAACAAAATCTGCATTTGGAGAAATATTGACGATTTTTCATAAGTCAAATGTGATTAAAAAGTCAAATCAACCTCACATGACTTTTTGAAACTCAAGAACATGTAGACCGGAATAACATTAAATAATCATCATTTTTAAATAATAAAACATAAAAAAACTTTTATCTAGTACAGGGCTCTCCAAACTTTTGAGCTCGCGGCCCCTTTTGATATATCAAAATTTTTGCGGCCCCTGTCCACGTTAATAATGCTAAACATTACGAATTATGTATTTTTGATATTTTATTGACTCAGTTAATTTTTAACTTTTAGTAAGCCCACTAAATATCAAAACAAATACACATTTACTAAGATTCACGTCACTCAATTATTCAGCCGCGGCCCCTAGTTTGGGAAGCCCTGATCTAGTATATACCAATTTTTTTCATTTTCTTTCATTGGTAATATACATTCATCTTCCTTTATTGGCTTAGGATTTTAGTCGCAACTTACACTTGTAACCGCAATGGACAAGTTATCTTCATCACACCATTGAATTCAACAAATTGGCTGAGTTTTGTCTAACCGGAATGATGAAAGTTATCCAAAGTTTAGTCGTTTCAAGACTCGTAGTCGCTCATTGTATAAATCAGAGAAAACACTTTATACTTTGCCAATTTTTCCAACAGTATTTTGATGGGAGTTGGTCTCCAGGATGAAATACGTAATTTATTTATACAGAAAAAAGTGCATGCTTTCACTCATCAGCGACCGCGGATACAAATAACTTTGTGAGACGATACTGCACGGGCAAGTTTTTATTGTGAAAAATGCTTGCAAATCATTGGTCGACGTTTTTATTCGGTTATGGTAAATGTAAAAGATTGATGTAAAAAATATATAAATGGCATCAATTGAACCATTTTTCCATTGCAAAGTATTCTTCCACCTTCTACGAATTCGATAAAAAGCGATCGAGTCAATAGCTGCAAAAAAGATGATGCTTGTTCGACTCTTGTTTGTGAATCTGGAAAATTATTTGAACATTTTGAGACAATGTTAAAAATAGATTGCCTTCTGGGTGGTTACTCTAACTAACCTAAAATTACCGGATCCCAAAGTTCTCAATTTTAACCTACGAAGCACGGTTAAATAATAGATTAAAAAGCTCAATCGACTACATTTATCCGTTAATGACAAAACACAAACACTACTAACAACTCTTATTTTACGTTGGTACAAGATTCTTTTTTTATTTGATTCTTGTTTTTGGTTGTAAGTGTAGCTAGAAATACACAAATTGGATAACGTTTTTTTCTACAAAGGTTAGTGACAAGTACTACGACGACTTCCATTATGGCCAAAAAGATACATATGGACATGGTACAAACAAACCACGCGGACGATATTGCCGAAATTCAAATATGTAAGTATTATACATTTCAATTGTTTTTGTTTTATAGTACTCGGGCACTGTCTTAATCTCAACTACGTAACTTCATTCAGGAATGTCGTTTTGATAATATTGGGTTTTTTATATATAACTTTTCTATTTAATATTACAGGATTAACCCCAAAAACAGAACCCTTATAGATGTTTCCCAACCCCTTCTACGAAAATAAAGAATATCGATCGAATTTACATTTGAACTTCTGTTTGTGTATGATTGTTCCCAGAAGTTTCAGTAATCTTGGGCGTTTTGCACAAAAGTTATGTTAACTCTAAAATACGTTCCGAATAACCTTCTCAGCATCGGGGACAGAACTTGCAACTTTTGCGCAAAATTGTCACGCTTGATGTTTGCTGCAATTGCAGCCCTAAGTTTGTCATGATTGTTCTGATTGCCCTTCAAGTAATCACACTGATGAAAATCTGGGGGTTCAAATCAGGTAATTGAAGTGTCCACTCAACGTCACTCTTCCTTCATATCAGTTTTTGCTGAAATCGCTCTTTTGACCAGCAGTCATGGGTGTGATATGTGAGTTTGGACCAACTCGGTCAATCCCGTTACGTTGCCAATTGTTGCTTAGAACCTCTTCAGCTCAGCTACATAAGGATCTGTATTCAATGTTCAGGTTTTTTCCATTTCCTCCTTCGAAATGTTACAAACCTTTTATGCCATGTTTGGGAATGACTACTTATGGGGGCACTTTACTGAGGTTAACGGTCTCTAAAACGCCGAGTTGCTTTAACAATGGCATATCTGATCAGAGCTAGGATGTCACTTGTCATGCGTGGACGTGGTTTTGTATAATTCATAATAAATGATTTGATAATGATTTGTTTAACATTTTTTCCGATATTGTTTGCAGCGCGCACGCAAAGCGAGGATATTGTCCAAATCCGAAACCTAATCTTGGATATTATGACAAATCTTGCCCCGACCAACCGTGTTCTATCGCTTTTTCGTATGCAACCAGTAGATGCCATCACAAAGTAAAGCTCTCTCAAAAGTACTACTATAAAGCAAATGAATGCAAGTAAGAATATTTTAATATTTGTAGGTGCAATTGATTCAGAATGTTGAAAACAACAAGAAAAATCGTGACAATGCATTGATATTATACAAGCTTATAACTTTAAAGCAATATTTATGATTTTCCATATAGCATTGTCTACTATTCAAATCTTAACATACTTATCAAAATCAATACCTTCAGGAATTTATTTACTTACAATATACAATGATAAAATGTTTGAAAATAACCTACGCAAGTTAGTTCCAGGAAATGTAGTAAATCTTGATAAAGCGTCTGAATTGCATGCGATGCACTTGTATGTTTAAGTTTGAACCAACAGCCTCCCATGTTTTATGATCGATTATTTCTTAGTGGAAAAGTGGCACCAAGACGGTACCATTAAAAATAAAATATTTAAATGTTACTAACAATAAAAAAAAGTTGAATTTTTGACCAAAGGAAAAATCGCTGACAGATTTGTTTAATATTTTATTGTAAATACTTGGCACTTTGTGACACTGTTGAAAATGTTTTTATAATCTCACACTACATCATACTTAAATAAATATCTTAGCACGCTATCGAAATTCAACTGCTGTATAGTTACAAAACCATATTGGGATTCGGGCTTAAATACGGTTGAAATAAATCACGAAGCAAAGCTGTGCGTAATTTTTTCTCTGGTAAAAAAACATATTTTTTTTCAATAGTAACATTTAACTCTTTGCGCCCTGAGCCGCACTATAATGTGGATGGCGAGAAACACCCCCAACCTGAACCCCAGTATATTGCGGGTAAAATATGACGTCATATCTCCGCTTCAACGGGCACGAGGCATACGATCTTGGTATCAATCGTTAGTGTGTTTCGAGCCCGTTATTATGAGCTATCGCTCGAACCATTCGAGCGTATTGGGCGATTTAAAGGGTGTTCCCCTTTTTTGATATTTTTCTGCTTTTTTCTCTGCAGTTGTATGTTTGTTCATTGAAAATTGAAGCTCGTAAACCACCAAAAATAGCTAGGGAACATTCGTTCTTTGTTTTGAGACTTCAGAGTAGACTTTGGACTATTCATTTGTCGTCGACACAGGGAATAGTGTTTATGACTGCGGACGAGAGTCGTCTTTTTATTATTGTTATGCAGTTGATTTCGGTTCTAAAGGGATATTGTTATATAAGACGTATTTGTAAGTTTATTAGGATTCTGGTAGCTATAAATCAGACAAGGTACCGTAATGGAGAGTGAGAGCGATTTTGATGCAAGGTAAGTGCAATACCTGCATGCATTCTTCTGCTATTTTTTAAAAAAAATTCTCTTTATATTCTGAGAAAATGATAGTTTGTAAGCTGACTGTGGCAATTGTTTGAGCAAGCCTCATAGCTTGGACTTGTTATTAGTAATAATCCAGTCGTTAATCAACGCAATTTTTCTTTTAGTTCTGGTGACGAGTGGGAAGAGACGAGTGAGTCATCTAGCTCCGATGAAGAGGTTGTCCCAGTCCCGGCTAGGCGCTATGCTGCAAGCACTGAAGATGTACCAGCTGAAGCAGCAGCGTCAACGGGCGGAATGTTCGGAGCTTCGAGCCCTCGGCGATCACGAGTTTGCAGGGTGTGTTCTGAACGGGACAAAAGAGAAAGAGAAGGCAGTAGCAGAAAATTGAAACAAAAAAGGTCTTCATATTGGTGTGAGAAATGCCAGGTAACACTTTGTGTTACCCCGTGTTTCGAGAAGTTTCACACCCTCCCAAACTATTGGGAATAGGAATCAAAACTTATGTGCAATATTGTGATGTTGACTTTATCAGAGACTGTGATTTTTGTTGACTTTGCCAGAGACTGTGATTTTTGTTGACTTTGTCAGAGACTAATTTTTCTTTTTACGTGCACCAAGGTGTTTTATGTACATACTGTGTAATTCTTCATTTTCGCTATTATTATTTCGTATGCACACTTTCTTTTCACATTGTTTTTCACCACTGTTATTCACATTCTTTCAAAACTGACTGAATTTAATTTTTTTGTGTCATTTTTTACTCGTATGTAAATATAAATATCTGATTTTTCAAAAACAAAATTTTCAATTTTTTCGAAAATTTCTGCCATTTACCTGAAATTCATCAGCCTACCATGACAATTTCATGTCAGTTAGAGAAAAACTGCAAATTTTCCCAATAAGGTTACACCTCTACCCTTCTTGTGAGTAAGTTTGATATGTGTAGTGTTTATAGTTTGTGTGTGAGTATTTTGTCTTTGAAAGTGGTCATTTTAGTCATATTTCGGACGAAATTTGAGAGCCGTAAAAAGTGTGTCAAAGCTGAGCCATGCCACTGGCTTGCTGTTAGAACAGGTGTGAAAAACTTAGTTTCCTGGTGCTGTGCTTGGAGTTGCCTTTCAAAAAAACCAAGAACTGTAGGGATTGGGCCTATGGTTAGCTTTTGACAATTTTTTAAAGTTTGTGAATTTTGTTCGAAAACGCCAGGAATATAGTGTTTTTTCGATATCGCGGTCCAGGGCAGAAAGAGTTTTAAACGTTTCATTGTTTGCTCAACCGTTTCAGTTAGAAATTTGAGACATAACGCAGGTGGTCTATACTCATACATACATCTGCGTCGAAATTTAGACATAACGAGAATACCTCTTATTTTTTCATTCTTGCAGATTTAAATATGGAAAATCTTGCCACAATTTTGGTTTCAATCGTCATGGATCGAATTCAGGTGGCTATGAACCGTCACCAGTTCCCCATGGATATCAAAGTACCCATAGATCGAACAATAAATACCTTGGGGCGTTCAGCAAATGCTTTTGTTACACGAGCAAGTGCCCACATAAGTTTGTAGCATGCTATGAATATAAAGGCCACTACTACCAGGACACCGTAGAAGTACAGGTGCGAATATACATTTTTGTGATATTCTAATTAAGCAACGTTTCGGAAAATCAGCTGGGTTTGTAGATAATTGATGAAACCACGCTGTCTCATCAGTTAGTTGGCAAATGAAATCATAATCAGGAACCACTTAAATCATATTGCTGCGACGAAAACGCAGATAATCCCGGCTCTCATGTTAGTCCTTGGTATTTCGGTACTTCTGTAATATGTATAACCTCTAACGGCATGCTATCTGTCCCAGTGACACATTCTTGAAAAAACTCTCTTCTAACTTATTGTATTGTGTCTTCCAGGTGCCTTGCGGATGTTCCTGCTACAAAGGATTCAAGCCATGGAGATAGATTCCATATCACCCGATTCAATACTATGGAACTGGAAAATATATTGGCTGATTAAAATTTGATAAAAACAATTCTGTATTTTTTCATGGGAGTTTTAGTGGTATCATCACTTATAACTAATTCATGCATATTATTAAAATGAAAAAATTTGAAGATTTCGGATATTTGAAGATATTTGTTCATTGCTTCTGCTTGCTATACTGTATTTTGAATGGATAATAATAATTATGACTTATTCAATATAAAACGTCTTCTGGACCAGTGATTTCCTATGTGGGCGATATCGCGCCCCGGTGGGCGATAACGCTACAGAAGGGGACGAAAAAGTCGAAGGGCGCGATAACGGGGCGATTTCTAGAAACCTGTTTTTGTTTGGCGCTTCGGCACTTGATTACTGTACTCTGCGTGCTTTCGTATGTTTGAATTACTTAGGCGATTATCACACGCGAAAAGACTGCTGGACTCATCTTCGCAGTAAGATACAGTCGTTTCCGTATCCCAGTGGTCGGCAAAATACGGCGACCGAAGTAAAATAATCAGGCCCGGGACGCTCCATTGAATGGACCGCCGACCTTTGACCCAGGAATATTTTTCCTATACTTTACCATTTAAAAAATTTTCGGTGCGTATTTCAAGAGTGGTTTTTCGAGTTGTTGCCTGTAAAATGGGGTATTTGTTTCAAACTATCATTCTAATTCAAACCATTCAACAATCTTTTTTTTAAAAGTGTCAGTAAATAAGTTTAGCCTAGTCTATCAAAGATATTTCTACACCAAATTTTTGCCTACTGTAATTAAACTGAAACTTCTGGGAAGACAAAGTGATCATTGACTTATTTTATTTATATTTAAATTTCCGAAAAACAACTAAACACTAACGAATATCATTCGAAAACGCCAAAATGAGGTAATTTTCACGACTACGCTTGAATATCTGTATGAGTGAAAAATGTGTCTGAGCGGATGCAAAAGGGGGCATTGTTACGTTTATTTTTGCATCGTGCTGAATGGCCAATGTCCTGAAGTAAACAAGGAAGTCTATGCCCAGGGAAACATCCAAACGGCGGTTTTGACGATGAATTAATTTTATTTACAATCTACGCTCGAGGAGTAAATTACATTTTTTTTATGTAACAGAATTTATCGTGAGGCACGTTTTGACAAAATTTTATTATATCCATAAAATTATATTAAACAGCTTCTCGTTTAACGAGCCTACAATTCAATTATAATTAGACAATTGGAAACACGCAGAAAAGTTGATGCTGAGTGCAGGGGTTCAATAGCGCAGTAAATATTAGAATATATTGCAATGCAATAAGGAAATAAAATTCATATTCTATTCGAGGGATTCATCACTGTTTAATTTTTGTAAGAGTGTGTTATCCTAAAGAAAATCTTCATCAAAATTTGACAAACCATGCGATAATATTCATTTCGATGTTTGGAAGTACATATGTGTGCGAACAATCATTTTCGGAAATGTACATTACAAAGAACAAGCTAGAACTAGGATTAGTGATGCCCATTTAGAAAATCTTCCAATCTTGGCGTCGTAAAGCTATCAAGCGTGATGCAGCAACAAGACGGTGTCACATTAAATGTCATTGTGATAATTTTTTAATAATACGACTGAGCTGAGTTCACGAATTGTCGCGGTTTTAGCCCACCTAACGTTTTTATTGCCGACAGATTGAATAACTCAGTAATTAACATACACAAGTGTTGTTGGTAGCGCTTCATCGCAACCCATCCACAGCAGGTATATGGACTATAAAACCTGTGTATATTACTAGCTCATACTTACAAAATCTTATTTAAAAAAAATTGAATAGTTGGCTCGTTAGCTAATTAAAACATGCTCGGCTGCAAATAAATGAATGGTTAAAAAAAATCTCCAATTGGTGCTAGAGATTATTATCTGGTTAAGCTTTTACTTTATCTCTATAAAAATGTCGGGAGTAATATTGAGAACATGGGGAATATTCTGATATCTCGGCCCTACCCGGGATTGAAATAGGATCCTTCAGTCTGACTCTCACCCGACTGAGCTATCGAGGCACACCCACCCAAATTTGATGCAATCCATGTTTGTCGGTGCATTTATAACAAATAATTCTATCTCGAATTGCCTGATATCATGTAGAAATTAAGTTCTTGGAGAAAACACTCTTTATGTCCAAAACTATACCAACATTTAATTAATTGGTAAGTAAATGGTAATCGAGCAAAACGCAGTGTCTTACTCAGTAGAACTGAACATAGAGTCGTGGCTTAAGTCATACCAACCGTGTTTCCAAAAGTTTCCAGGGGATAAAGATTTTTGTTGTCACTAGACGGCTATCACTTTTGTTTAATTCAAAGATTTCTGTGGGCTCTATTGGATTTTTTTTTTCACTCAGAAGTTTTGTGCGAAGATCTCATCAAAATTGAAAATTGCACATTGTGCGGCGGTTCCGCGATCGCATGTCAGGAGTTTTTTGATATTGAAGACTACCGGTTCTGCAGACGATTAGGTATTAATTTGTTTTGGCCGTCGTGTCCATAAATTTGAGCCTTGCGCTGTGATTGATTAAAAAATAAAAAGCTAATTATCACAACTCACGAGTGACGTAATAAATTACTACGATTCAAGCGTCATTCAGTTGTGGCCTTCCCATATTGTTTGCGAGTTACGTGTGATGGTTCATTAACACGCACAGCAATCGCTCGCATTTGTTACGTTTTGTTCAATTCCATAAGAATTTCAAGATTATTTTAGTAGAAGGGTGGGAAGTGATGAAATTTAGGTTTTTGAGAGCATTTTTCTTCTGGATCGAACTCATCAACAACAAGTTCCCTCATTTTAGAAATCGTATGTATGTCACTATACGTAAGCTACAATAACATGACACGTCACATAAATATGATACATAACTTTGGAAACGCCAAATATAGCGCTAGTCGCCAGCGGTGCACTCTAGCCATTTGCTGTAGCCGTCTAACGCCTAAAACGAAAAACTAGAACGGATTCGCTGATTGTCGCGGACTCGTTGATTGTCGCGGGTTCGCGGGTTCGCGGAACCCATGTGAATCCGTTGAATCCCGCCACTGGGGGTGGTTTGTTATGACATCATAGAATGGTTGTAGCTCTACACCTTCATCTAGTGGTCCCCTTTCGGGGTTATACTGTCTTGTTATATTATTTTAAATGCGAACATATACAAATCTCAGCAAGAAGTTTACTCGCAATATTTATCATGGACTTGTATAACAACCTAAAAAACAAAGGAGACGTTAACAATGGCGTTTTTCTCAAAAAAAAATTATGAGTTATTTTTTCATTATTTTTTTCATTAAATTTTAAATTATACTTAAGCCTAAATATTTAGAAACATGGTTGGATTAGAAAGTCTTCAACTTTCATCGGGCATTTATATTCATGTCAAATTAACTACGAATTGAATCCGAGGACAAATATACTGAGTAATACAAATACAGGAATACAGATTTGAAATTCAATTTTAATTCAACTCTATCAGTCGTTGTGTAATTTTTGTGTCTTTCAAGACGTCCACTATCTTTCCTACTATTCTTTATTCTCCTCTCTATCATATTTTTCCTTATTAGTTTTTCTTAAGTTACTTCTACTGTATTTCCGCGCCAATTTAATCTCAATTTTCCAAATGTAGCGAGTGATACGTTTGAAAAAGGCATAATTTTTTTAATAGAGTTATCGGATTGTTATACAAACATCGGGTTGATTTTTAGATCAGCTATTTTAGGGCAGGAAAATATATGCTAGTTGCGAATGTAAGTAAGTACGTTTATAACCAATACATTTTTGGTGTGGGACTTCAGTCGTTTTTTTGGTTATAAAATCGTCTTTTCACCTACTTTAAAATCGGCATTTCATCTTCACAACGGATTGTGAAACTTCTTGAATTTGTTCGACGACCTCTTTTTTTATCATAGTCATATTGTCCTAGTTTGCATCATCAAAGGTGCATAAGAAAAATTTGTGTCTCTCGGATTATAACGAGTTTTTTATTTCCGATATTCAAATTGAATATTTTACCGTTTTTTTCCGATCAAATGGATTTAATCGTGTATACAAGTAATCAAATGTACCAGATGGATTTGTAAAATTATTCAATCATCAACATTGCTTGGTGAAGAATATCTCAATGCCGATTTCTTTGCGCGGGCCTATTTCTGAGAAAGATCGATAATGTAACCGTAACTAAATTATTTTCCGATTAGGTTCTATTGTTTAAATTTATGAATAGAGTTATGATAAGAATCTTGAATCTTCCACCGAAACCATGACAAGACATTATTGTATCAGAAATACCGTTCTTACATAATTATTGAGTTATAGAATAAAGTAGTAAATATTATGATACATTTTATTTCTTATGAAATTAATCGTAACACGAAAAATATATATTGCGTGGCTTTATTTTTTCAGTGAAAAATATGAAAGTTCAAAAAAATTCTTACAGTGAAAGAATCATTTTTGATGCATAATATCACACATGGATACACAAATAATTCTGATTTTGTGTCTAGTTTTCAGTTACATGATATCTGGTATGATTTCTCCAAAATATGGTGCAAACGTACAATGATTTTATCCCCTTATACTGGATTGCATTTATTATCATTAGCCATAACCATATGTTGCTGAATTGATCCACACCTATACACAAGTCAGCCAGTATTATTTTACTAACTTCACTTATTCAAATTATGTTGTATCATTCGGCTTTATCTCAGCGCATCATTGTCAGAGTTAGATAACCTATTGTTTGTCTGATTGGAAGTAGATATCTTCTTACAGAATCATAAATGCGATGAAAAACGGCAAAACTAAATAAAAAATGCCAGTGTAATATAAACGCTTTGTAATGCTGCCATAAGTGCCTTTCCGTTTTCCGGTTGCGAGACTGTGGTTCTAGCGAGACGATTCATAAATATTTCACGGCTTATACGGTAGCCACCTTATTCGTTATACATGATAACTGAACAAACCTGTTTTTTCTGTAAATTTATGGTTATGTCAATATTTATGAATTGGTGTCTGAAAAACGTAACACAATTTTATTTTGTAA